GATGGGTTGAATTGAATAGGTAGGAATTTCCTCTATTTATGTAATAATAATTTCAGAGCGTATCACCGTTTTCATTCCTCTTATTAGTCTGGATTTTCAATCCAAAGGTAGAGTTCAGTGACAAGTGCACCCTCGCAGTGGGCCTCCCGAGTGTCTTTACGTCATGCAAGGATGGCAGCTGCTAAAAAATGCCGCATCCTAACCGGGATTAATGACAAATGTCGTTGGAGATCGGCGCGATGTACAAAGCAAAGAGATAGGGGAAGATTGAAATGCAAGAGGCGTTGAAATTCACGACACGTGTGAACCGTGACTCCGTGAGTGGAGATTTAGACACGGCAATGAAGGAGGGTGCGGATCGAGCGATGGACATCCCCGCCTGGAGCTTTTTCATTGTCGCATTAGCCATGGTGTTCGTTTCTAACCCTCGTCCCTCGAGTGCCGGAACTCGTTGAGGGAATTTATTTATTCATTTATGTTTCAATGAGCTTGTTAAGTCTGCCGGGATCTTTTTTTTTCCCCTCGGTCTTGCTTCGCAGGAAGGCTTCGGTTATTGCATTTCGAAGCTGAGGACGAATAATTAGATATACCGACACCAGAGGACAGCACCTTACGACGAGCTCTATAGAGAGCACCAAGGAACATAGAACGTCTTTTCTTCGTAATAAAATATAAATTTACTGAAATTCTGCTGGAAATGTACGGTTTATATAATGTTTTTCGCGACTAGTTAAATAGATACGATTGTTGAACTAACGCTCACTTCTTTTTAGGTTATCAACTTGAGATCTCCGGGTGCAGTTCATTTCTCGTTACCATCAGAGCTGATGGTAAGTGGGAATGGAATATTTCTACCTTCGTCCTGCTTTACCTTCCGTAGTCATCAGTGGATTTTTATATCTTTAAACAACAATCTGTTCCGTAGGTGAAATTATTCAGTGATGTACAACCTCTCCCGCTCCGACAAAACGTAAGACCTGAAATAATTTATTATAAAAAGTGTGGAAAGCTTGTAAAGAATTGCATTTGTACAATTATTGAACGCATTTCTAAAGATTTAGAAGTACCGTCTTTCGATCAGAGCATTCATTTTTAAGTATACATCGCATTTTTAAATAATTAAGTCTGCCGATAAGGCAGGACTTCACTGTCCACTTTTTCTTTGCAATCGACGCCTCCAGAGGTCACCACCATCTGTAAAATTTAATCCCTTACATGCGCTAATGGCTCTATACCCAAAGTTGCATTACGGATATTTCGGCACTTTCATTTTCTCACCCGGAGAATTTACTTTCTCACTATTCCGATCCCGTTCTCTCATTTCTCCACGTCGATTGTTCAGCGACGATAAGGAATCATCGAAGGCTAGTCCCGAAGACTTTCGATACATTAAATTCGTTACGAAACACCGGGAGCCTCCGTGACCGTGCCTTATAAATTAGCATTATCAACAATATTCCTAGGTCACTGTTTATAATCACCGCCACTTATCCATTTTCCCGGCAGAAAAAACAAATAACTCATCTCGGTGAATTTCCGTTGTACAACCGACTGCACTCGCTCGCATCAATTTTCTATCCTTTGTTGGAAACACTGATAACACGGAAACGGCGGACCGGATAATTATATTTAAACCCAACCGCTTAATAGATCTCGACTAATTGTCAGTTGCGCAACGAGTTAAGCGATTCGACTTATTTGTTCATGCGTTTGATTCTTATCCATCAGCCTCTTGGAAGGAAATACGGCGGCCATCTTTGCATCTCTCAGTCGCTGCATAATTGAAGTAATCTTAGTTCCGTTTGGAAGGCGATTACCTGAATAAAAAGAGGCATTCGGAGATAAGGCTCCCAGGAAAATCGGCCATCTTGAGAGATCGTCGATTTCCAGTTCTGGGCCTTACCTGGCGCACCTGCGATTGACCCTGGCCCAAGATTGGAAAGTGTCCCCGCGGGTTCTGGCAAACCCACCTGTAATGGATTAAGTAATTATTACGTCATGTGGGACTCCAGATTCTGACAATTTGTCACCGCAGACGTATCAAGGACAGCCAATTGTTATGGAAATTCATTCGAAGGAACTATGCGCATCAGCTGTTCTCGTTTACTCATGCCTAGAGTATGTTTATAAAATTCTTCAAAACCTAAGTACATTGGAATTTCGTGCTATACGGGAGACCTTTATAAATTTTTATCTCTACGAATTTTTCCCAATTATCTTAAATGGTGTGTCCCGAATTTCAGGAATTCTCGGTTAATGAAAATTGTCAGGAACTAATTTAATCTGCCAAAGCAAGAATTATGTGCACTCAATTTTAATTGGTCCATTTTTTTTTACAGATTCGTCTCACGTTATGTCCAGAATTTCATGCGTGATGGTCTTACGTCGATTCGTAATATCTATACCCAGCCGTAAAATGTTTCCCTGCGAAATGTGACTGATAAATTCTTTTCTCTTTCCTTCGCAAGACGAGATAAGCGCAATTGGGGGCGAAACAAGGACTAACAAGAGGTGGTTAGTCGATTTGCCGAGGAATTCCCAGGCCGTAAAGTGAAGTTGCGTTCTTTACGAGCAGAATGCGGAGTGTCGGGTGCGATTCTCATTGTCACTCCCACTATTCATGGCGGCCATTGTCTCGGGCACACCGCGGAACGGTAAAAAGCCTTCTCGGAACCATTCCTTGAGTGTGACGCCACTGTACTTTCAGGTGCAACTGCATGTCTGCGGCGGTCTTGAGTTGGACTCTGGAGGCGCGACCTTCACCCTTGCCTCCTTCCAGGGAATGGTCATTTCACGAAGTAGTATAAGGAGATACAACGCCATGCATCGAAACCATCCCCACTTTAGAAGTCCAAGATCTTCAGACTTTTTTTTTTTCGATCTAGTGCCTAGAGCACCTCCTCGGTACAATTTTGCAATTCAGTATTATCGTCTACTAGTCTTTATCAGGTTAGACATCACATTCTGTATATTATCCGCGGATTATCGTTTCGCTTTGCGTGTCTTAATTCCAAAATTAAAAACATTTCAGGTCATTTACATCGGAAGGAGGTATTTTTATTACGTAGGATCGGAGTTTCCTCATTTTATCGCGAGTGGCGCTCGCATCGTCAGATCGGCGAAATTCTGAAACTCAAGGTCCCCATTTTGGGGTTACTTAATATGGAACCGATAATCGGCGTTATGTCTTCTTATGCTACTCCATGGTCATTTCTCTCGGCGAGGCCTAACCTCGGAGGTTAGGTTGGCCAGGGTAAAGCCGGCTAGACGAGTTCCCTTCTTCAGGCCGGGAAGAGCCCGGAAAAGAGAGAAGAACGACCCGCGGGAAGAACAGGATCTGCAAAAGGATCTGCGTAGTTGCTCTCCTCGCCATAAAAAATACCCGGACGAAAATAACCTCTCTAAACTCGCCCGGTGTGGAAAAGTGCTTTCGATGGGTCTTTATCGAAACGACTTCTTCACGGTAGCGTTTATCGGCTAGAGAAGCACTTATTGGTTGCGTAGGTCGTTAACAAGTCGCCTATCACTGGACGATACGACTCGAGACGAGGAAATGTGATAACGTGCTCGGACCATGGACGTAGTACACATGGACCTCGCGAACTCGACCATTTCTTTGATATTTTTAAAAATCAAGAAAAAAAGGAAATAGAGCATCAATCTTTATCTTGCCGTTAGATAGGCTATTGTCAAATTGCGCCATACCGAATATAAAAGAGAAAAAACAAGGATCACCCCCTTTATTTTCTCTCTTAAATCTGCTCCCTTCATAGACCAGTTTACCGGAACTTACCATTAAAACCTTTCATGAAATTCCTACACTTACCTAAGGTGGTAGTGGAACTATTAATTTAATTTCATGGAAGTGAAATATAATTATATACAATTTGTAACATACATGTGTCATATATTTTATGGGAAATGTGTTTTAAAATTGGTATTTACATGTCCGAATGTTTGGAAGGGAAGTGGTATTAAATTATAGGATTTCTTTTCGATAGTGTACATCTTACGTCCTTGGTACCGACACGCGTGCATTTTCGTAAGGTCGAAAATAAACTCCGTCGTGTTAATAGTGTTTTTGTTCGAGGTCCCCTCCTCGTTGTCACTTAAATCTACATCATGTAAATGCGGAGTGCCTCCTCCTCTCGTCTGCCTGCTTGTGTACGTTCGCGGACATCCTGTCTAGGCTGATTGCGAAGAATCGTGTGACAACGATCGTTAATCGGGCCCATACACAGTTTCTCCATTTCTCCCTGACAAAAGGCACTTAACGAAGATGCGAAACCGTTTCGTAAACCGGCGAACGGCCACTTTGCTTTTCCCCGCTTCAGCGGTTCCCCATCTGCTCCTATAAACGTTAAACACCTTTTTTTCGCCATAACAAGTGTGCCCAAATGATCCGAATATTTCCCCAGGTGTTCTTTACCATCAACCATCCTTCCCGGTCTCAAAGATCCTCCATTGATCAAACAAAACCGTGACAACCTAAATAATTTCAAATGAAACCTCCACCTCATTTCCCACCGTTCCCCAATTCCCATTTCTTATTCATTTCCAACATCATGGGAGATCTTTTACTTTCATTTCCCCTCTTTCCTTCTTAACCCTCCTTTCCTGGATTTTCCGGCTCCTATGAGGTGTGCGAGAGCGTGACCATCATAGAAAAAGGAATACTCGGAGTATCCCAAGAAAAGTGGAAAAAACCTCGGAGCCACGAAATAGATACACTTTTTTTCTCCATGTTAAAAAAACTTTTCCTAGTTCCTTTCTATTTGACAATTCGGTCACGTGGCTGCTCATTGATGCGCCTGTGCGTCCATCCATTCAGGCGCGCGGCCGTGCACTGACTCACGCGCTGCCGCGCTGCCCCATGTTCACGCGCTGCGCGTGCGCCGTGAGTGCTGCGCCCACGCGGCAGCGCACACGGCAGCGCGCTAGGTGCGCACGCACTCGCCCCGAGTCGGCCCGCGTGGACCGGCCGATTCGGACTCGCCGCGGTGCTCGGCAGTACTGGTCGGTCCGCTCGGCGAGTCGCGTGGCGATCGGGCCGATCGAGCGAGCTCGCCAGACGAGCGCGTGCAGGTGCAGCGCGCGGGTGTAGGTGCACGCGTCACCGGCGATGGGCAGGGAGTGTCCTGAGAGTTGGGCTTTTCGGCCCGCCGCTGCGCAACCTGGACCAGGACGCCATGGAACGTACCTAGCACTCCTTGATTAGGTAATTCCGTCCAGTCAGCACAGTACTCTCTATATACACCGATACACATTTCGGATTGGCGCAACCGAGCGGGAATTATGCCGCCCGAGTTCTTTCCGCGAATTAATTCCCTGCCACTCGGGCTATCGTTTACTCGAAAGTGAGGGTCTTAATCATCCGTGGTATTCTGTATTATTTTCTTCACTTTTTCTTCATTTTAATCGGACATCCAGCTGGCATTTCGTGCTGGCGAAACCGCGCGCTGAGACAGCACGCGGCTGAAGTCGGAGCGCGCTTGCGCAAGCGCTGGTGTAGCCGTCTCGTCGGGATTTTCGGTTTCTTTAAGTTATTTTTCGTCCTGCAAAGATGTCTTTGCGTGATAATTGCCTCTATCAGAGGATGAAGGATTTTGCGGATTTTGGGGAGATTTGTTTTGGTCTTGTTTTATATTATCTGGTCGGGATTTTCGCTTTCTTTAAGTGATTTTTCGCCTTACAAAAATGTCTTTGCGTGATAATTGCTTCTGTCAGAAAATGAGGGGTGCTGGGAAATTTGGATAATTTTTTTTTTATTTTCTTTAATAGTCCATTCGCCGGTCTTTGTCGACTATAGACTTTGCCGAGAAGTCCGATTAATCGAACTGTTGTTGAAAACCGGAACGATTAGGGCCTTGTTAATCGCCGAGCGGGGTTAACAAACCGCACGTTTAATTCGCGCCGAGTCGGCTCTCGGAGATTGGCCGCCGTGAAAATCTCGCCTTCGTAGCCCGAAACCACTTGCTCTCGTTTCGTCGGTCCTTTCTTGATAAGCGTTCCCCGCAGATAAGCCACTATCATTGGCCAAATATGCCCAAAAACTTCCGCTCGCTGCCGGATGGGGATATCCTCGAAGCCCATACGTGTTTTTCTTCCTCACCTAAACCTAAGAAAAAGTCAAATGACAAAATGACAAAAGAGAATCAATTATACAAAATCAAAGAACCATACATCACTACTGCACCATTCCTGCAGAAACGCGATATATAAAAAAGAAAATGATCTCGATAATATCGAAGAAATATGATCCCGGGAAATATGAAATGTAGGTACTTGAAAACCATTCATTGAGATCACGCTTGGATGTTTATAAAAATATTTGTAAATTAACTTTGTCAGTTTGGAAATAATTTAATGTTTATCTAACATTTTGACCTGCCGAATTTTCCTGTTAGGATATGGATTTAGGAAAATATGAAATGTAGGTACTTGAAAACCATTAATTGAGATCATGCCTGGATGTTTATGAAAAATGCTTGTAAATTAATTTTCTCAGTTTGGAAATAATTTAATGTTTATCTAACATTTTGACCTGCCGACTTTTCCTGTTAGGATATGGATTTAAGATTCCGACACTTGCTCAGGGGACGGTGTTATCAGTGTTCAAATGTTTGAGGGCTTCCGCCTGTTATCAGTGCCTCCACGTGACGCTGTAACAGATGGGGAGCGATAAGTATATATTTCCAATTCGTCCCGTGGATTTTTTACCGTGAGAAATATAGGACGCGAGGGGTCGATTAAATTCCGAGAGCAAGGAACGGTGTATACGGGATTTGTCGCAAACTGGTATCATAAATCGAACCCGCCTGCAGGAAGGGAAGTTAACGTGTCGAGGATATGCACTCATGTAAATGTATATTCATAATATGTACACATACCGGTTACATCTATATGCAAAGAAGCATTGCGAGCACCGCGAAAATGTTATCCAACGCGTTATTCAACCACGTGTTCCAACTGTGTTCGGCTTTTTTCAATAAATCATTAGTACCCGACGCTCATTGAATGCACTTGGTGCGAAACTCTGCCGCGATTCCACGTGAGCTTACATGCAGAAAAAGAAATTGGTTCATTTAACAGAACCGTTTGATCGACTGCATTTGTTTAATTGAAGAAAAAAATTCATTTTCTTTTCACTCAACTATAGTGTATTAGTTGAATCGTTTCGTTAACTCTATGAAATATTATAATTAATTTTGTCCATATCGCGAGGGAAATCCCAACAAGGGAAGCTATATCACATTTTCAACGGAACGTAACACTTTTTACAATAGGAGCGATCAACCAAACATTATTAACCAAACAATTTAGCCTTGTCAATTAATTATTTAGTTGTTCATATAATGACTATATTCCATGGTGGAGGAAACAAAAATTTGATCATTTTTCCACGTGTATCAGGCGTCACTTAGTCGCTCCTTTTTATCTGCATTATTTTCATAAATTAATAACAGAGTCGGAAAATTGTTGGGCGCGGTAAATGGCGCACTTGAAGAAGGGTTTACCCTCCGGTCGAATGTACGAGCCGAGTTGAGGTACTTTCGGTCGAGCAGCTCCTTTTTATCGTGCGACTCTGCATCTTCTGTTTACGGTCCAGCGAGGAGCAGCCTCCTCTATATTCCCGAAGCTGGAGATGCCTTTAAGGCTATAATTTGCGGCGGGATAACTTGAGGTAGCGGTAACGCGAGGCCCGTCAATTGCACGGTACACGTGTATAAAAGTACAGGTGTATAAACACAGGATGGAATTACGGCTTCTCGGTTCCCAACGGGTCGCCTTTATTCCAGGTTCCTCATACGAGTACCTGTACATTGTACATACTACCCGTGTACTTGCGCGAACCAACGATCCCAAAATAAAAGTAATCGGACGTAATTCTGCGAGGGTCTTTTTCCTTTTTTAACCTTTTTTTTTTTACTAGCTTTTACTCCGTAGAAAGGGACCGGGCTCGTTAAACAAGGGAAAGACCAGCCAGTTATGAACAAAAATTAAAATAATACCGCAATGAAGTAATGAAATGATAATATAATAAAATAACAAGCCAATAGAACAGAGAAATAGTAATGTAACGCAATTATTTATAACTAACGTTGGAATGTAAAAGAGTGACGATATTACAAATCAATGAATTTATTACGAAATATATCATTGCGATAGTCATTGACACTTCACGAATTTAAGGCGATATGAAAGGGTCATTCTATATATATTCTATATAATGGCCCTAAGGAAGAACGCGATGTTCGTGAAATTTCAATTTTTTTTACAAAAAAAAATATATGTGATCTTGGCTCTAGTCCAGGCTAAATGAAAACAATTTTTCTTGAAAAATGAAATTTCACAAGTATCACGTTCTTCCTTAGGGCCTCCATAAGTATTTTTACGTTTTATATGTATATATATAGAATGACCCTTTCACGTCACCATGACCCGTTGAGCGTTAAGCGCGCTTGGCGTAAGGGCGAATTTCATCAGGGCGTGCAAGCGATATTGGACCAAACGTCGGACGCACTTATGGGGCCACAGCGCTGAAAGGGTTAAAGGGCCGCTAATTCGCGATATTTTTTTTTCGGGTTCGTTGAAAGGCTGAATAAATTTCTTCCGGAGGCATCGAGTACGCGCACGGGCGTGACGATACTTAAAAGGATTTGGAAAGATTTAGCAAGATTTAGCAACGATCTCCTTGACGGTCGTCCACGTGGTCGTCCCTGCACCGAAGCGGGCTGAAAGTCGGATTGCGACACTTAGCCTTGGACTGGTTGCACTTAGGACCCCGGTGGAGTCTAATCCATCGGAGAGACCTCCAGGACATTGTTGCTCTCTGAATAATGCCAAGATAACCGATCGTTACCTGTACATTGGGCACGCTCGATTAGGCCCCGCGAGGATGGAGTAATAATCGTAAATGTCGAGGAGCTGATCCTTGAGGGACACGGAGACGACATTTCGCGTCCGGTGTTAAATCAGAAAAGTGTATTGATTTTCATATCTCAAGATAAGTCCACAGTCGTTTTGACATGTCAGGTCTAATTTGCATTACGGAGTCGTGACTTGTGCCCGAAATGCCCGAAAAATGATATTACTCCCAAGGAAGGACCCTCGTTCGGTGGGGATATTATTCGGTAATGGTTAAGTGGCGTTAATGAGTTATTGACAGACGCAGAAAATACTCTCGAGATCCTTTACGGAAAGTCGCGTTACCGCACACAACCTTGGACTGGTTTGCGCCTAGGAACTCCCTTGAAGTCAGCCGTGCCATTTTCTGTGTGACGAGTCCTCCCGTTTGATGTCTATCCCTCTTTATTTCTATCCCTGTCCGTCACTGGCCACTTCTATCGCTATCTATCACCCCACGCTTATCCTGGAACTGACTGACATCTACCTATATTGTGCAGCGGTATTCGATAGGTGATAGGAGGGTACTCAGCTGTTGCGCTTGTCACGTGCTTCACGACTTCGTGTGCGCCCTTGCGAAATACCTGTATCGAATTTCCATCCATTAGAAATAGCCTCGGTACTTTTACACTCGTAGAGCAGAATCGACTTAACCGGATGTAAATTAACCATGTATAGAGTCTCGAGGTTGATCGACGTAGCGCGCTTTTAGGAAGATTTATACCTTGGGGGATGTTTTGCAAAGTCGATAGTCTAGAAAAGATTTAGAATAGAAAATAAAAAAAAAACGTTGAGTAATATTAGTTAGATGATCGAAGGCAAATCAGCTTATCCTACCCCCTTTTCGTAAAAAAAATTCGGAGGGAGGGCCTCGAGATAAGAAATCCAGAAGCGGAAGTTTCACGAAATGTGGATTCATTATCAGAGGTACTGACCTGCACCAACAATAAATTCTCTCTCAACAGCATCACTAGGGAAATTCGGTCTGGATTAGAATTCTGGAAAATCCGGTATGGACGTTTTGAGAAATTCTCCTCGCCCCGAAATTAAACCACTTGCTTTGGCTCGGCCATTTATACGCGAAGAATTAAATTGGCGAAAGTCCGAAAGTGAGGTAAAAAGCCTCGAGAGGTTCCGCTTTGTCGGGCTTTATTTCCGCCGGAATACCAAATTCGAGTCTCGGGAATTAATGAAAGGGAATAAAAAGGAAAAGAAAAAATGAAAAATCAGTATCACAGGTTCGTCCGATTTGCAAAAGAGATTCGAGGAGTTATTTAGCCCCGGCGTCACGTTACTCCCGTGAATCATCAT